AAAAGATCAGGTAAAAATGGGTGCATCAACTTATGGGTCAATTAGTATTAACATCACTTCTCTTTACTGTCATTAATTAAAAGATCAGGTAAAAATGGGTGCATCAACTTATGGGTCAATTAGTATTAACATCACTTCTCTTTACTGTCATTAATTAAAAGATCAGGTAAAAATGGGTGCATCAACTTATGGGTCAATTAGTATTAACATCACTTCTCTTTACTGTATTTAATTACATGATCAGGTAAAAATGGGTGCATCAACTAATGGGTCAATTGTCAACATTCTTCATTTCTTTCAGCTGTAGCAGTGATATAGCATGTCCCAGTATAAGTGCATGTTTAAAAAAAAACATTTTATTTTAACAAGAATACATATGAGGGGACATGGTTTTAACTTAAGATTGTTTCTAACTTCACTGAAGTTTAGGCATGAGAAGATAGTGCTACTGTGAACATGAATACTAAACATTCTTTACACAGCTGTATGTGTTAACTTGTGTCACCTAGTACTAAAAATTTCTTACACAGCTGTGTGTGTTAAGTTGCATCACCTAGTACTAAACATTTCCTATACAGCTGTATGTGTTAACTTGTGTCACCTAGTACTAAAAATTTCTTACACAGCTGTGTGTGTTAAGTTGCATCACCCAGTACTAAACATTCCTTATACAGCTGTATGTGTTAACTTGTGTCACCTAGTACTAAACATTCCTTACAAAGCTCTATGTGGTAATTTCTGTCATCTAATACAAAACCTTCCTCAAACAGCTGTATGTGTTAACTTGTGGCATCTAGTACTAAAAATTCCTTACACAGCTGTATGTGTTAACTTGTGGCATCTAGTACTTAAACATTCTTTACACAGCTGTATGTGTTAACTTGTGGCATCTAGTACTAAACATTACTTACACAGCTGAATGTGTTAACTTGTGGCATCTAGTACTAAACATTCCTTACACAGCTGTATGTGTTAACTTGTGGCATCTAGTACTAAACATTCCTTACACAGCTGTATGTGTTAACTTGTGGCATCTATTACTGAACCTTCCTTAAACAGCTGTATGTGTTAACTTGTGGCATCTAGTACTAAACATTCCTTACACAGCTGTATGTGTTAACTTGTGTCATCTATTACTGAACCTTCCTTAAACAGCTGTATGTGTTAACTTGTGTCTTCTGATAAACATTCCTTATACAGCTGTATGTGTTAACTTGTGTCATCTAGTTCTAAATATTCCTTACACAGTTCTTCTGTGTTAATTTGTGTCATCTATTACTAAACTTTCATTAAACAGCTGTATGTGTTAACTTGTGTCATCTAGTACTAAACATTCCTTACACAGCTGTATGTGTTAACTTGTGTCATCTATTACTGAACCTTCCTCAAACAGCTGTATGTGTTAACTTGTGGCATCTAGTTCTAAATATTCCTTACACAGTTCTTCTGTGCTAATTTGTGTCATCTATTACTAAACTTTCATTAAACAGCTGTATGTGTTAACTTGTGTCATCTATTACTAAACCTTCCTTATACAGCCGTGTGTTAAGTTGCATCACCTAATACTAATGACTAGCTTTATCACCTTCTAAATAAGTCTTTAACAGAAGTAATGACTAGCTTTATCACCTTCTACATAAGTCTCTAACAGAAGTAATGACTAGCTTAATCACCTTCTAAATAAGTCTCTAACAGAAGTAATGACTAGCTTTATCACCTTCTAAATAAGTCTATAACAAAAGTAATGACTAGCTTAATCACCTTCTAAATAAGTCTACAATAGAAGTAATGACTAGCTTTATCACCTTCTACATAAGTCTATAACAGAAGTAATGACTAGCTTAATCACCTTCTACATAAGTCTATAACAGAAGTAGATATTGGTCAACTGTCTATTTAATGTTCTTCCAAACAAGAGTAGTGAGTAGCCAAATGTCAATTTTAAAAACACATTATCACTACCTGTACTTAGAATACAATTTTCTTTTGAAATGTGTCTCAAACAGATGAAGGGATTAGTGAACAATCCATTTAATATAAGTACATTATAAATAACCTAACTTTCTTTCCATGTTTCTTTCATTTATAAGATTCCAAGTAACCCCCCCCCCAAAAAAAAAATTATTCCACTAGTGAGGCTTTTAACAAACAAATTTAAGCATAAAAACATTTGATTAACACACATCCAAGTGTGTTTAAACCCTTGACTGCTAATTTGCTGTACGGTCCACTTCCAGCAGTTGAATGCGAGTGTGCTGTACACAGTGTATGGCTCGCAAAATTCCGTGCACATTAGAAGCAGCCGCATTCAAAGGGTTCAAACTTGGATGCTCCACTATTATAAGTAACACAGGTGTAGTTATCTGTTTTAAGTTACTGGTAGTTCACAAAGATGTTAGTTTACAAAAATACATATAATGTTCTTGTTGAAGGTTTATGTTGCACAGCTAATTCTAAAGGTGTAAAACATTTTAAGTTAACTTGAAATCTTTATTTTTGTTTGATACAAGAAATAGCATCTTGAAACTAATTTATCAATTGCAGGAAATTGCATTCTATCACGAGTAAATTTTGAATAAAAAATTGCACCAACTTTTAAAAATGCTTGACAACTGTCGGTCAATTACGTATGTTAACATACACACACACACAAAAGACATTAAACGACTTAAGAATTCCTATACCCTTGAAAAACTTATACAAGAAAGATTCTTATTTTTTGAAGTCAGCACAATACTAGAAAAAATTAAATTGATTTTTTCAGCATTACACTAGAAAATAAATTTTTTTAATTTCTTTAAAAAAAAAAGTTTTCGCTATACTTGGCTATTAAACAAGGTGTGCAAGATTAGAAATAATAACTGCTGTGATGATGCCGTTTCCATGGCACCAAGTAACTTTCCAACAAGAGGAAAATCAGCACAAGGATTAGGACACACTAGATATGGCACGAAAAGAAGCACATACAGAATATGCTTCACTCAAAAACAGGTCTGTGTCGTTAAACACATAATTTTATCATTAGAAGCCCTCAGACTTACCAGTGACACTAACAAAAAGCCAGACACAACTAGATTTGTAAACTGACTCCTGAAAATTAAATGTTGAGTTTCTGTCTCATGGCCTTTAGTTTAAACAACAATAAATAAGCTTGAAACATTTTGTTAACCTAACAGGAAAGTACATTTTTTTCTCTCTGAGGAATGTTCTTTTTTAACACTACTAAATACATCAAAAACCACGACTTCTTTCAGAGTGTTTAAAAAACAAATTGTATTAATGAAAGAAAAGAAAAAATACTTAAAATAACTTAACACAAACAAAGTAACTTTTAAAATAGTCAACTGAAAATAAAATTCCCAGTTTCATCTTAATTAAAATATTTTATTGGGTAATTGAAATAATATAAATGCAACAGAATAAATTACTTAAATAATTGTAAAATAGCTGCTGTACATAATTTGCTGAAGTCTAGAACTTGTTGAATGCATATATAACACTTTATATAACAAGTTTAGTACTGTTGATTAATAATAAAGCTAAAACAGTACAACAGGTTTTTCACCAATTTTTAAAAATACAAGATAACAACGAGACTCAAAGATCCAATTTCAAAACTGACTAGAAAGTGAAAAAACCCAATATACCAGATCATGACAACTGTATGCTCTGTAAAGTCAGACCCCATACTCTGAACTATCTGACAAGATCTTTGACTTTAAGATAAATACAACTTGCACAAAATAAGCTTCCTATGTTCTTGAGACTGCCGATAGAGTCAGAAGGATCACTATACCTAGCTAGGTTTCTTTCTAAAAAAAAACACTTCTTCAGGCAGACCTTGCCCTCTGAACTATCTGACGAGGTCTTCGACATTAAGAAAAACATAAGTTGCATGATCGAAGCTTCCCGTGTTCTTTACACTGCCTATAGAACAAGAAGGATCACTATACCAAGTTACGTTTCTGTTTAAATAAACACTTCTTCAGACAGATCCCAAAGTCTGAACTATCAGCCAAGGTCTTCAATACTAAGAGAAACATAACTTGCAGGAACAAAGTTTCTTGTGTTCTTGACATTGTCTATGGAGCCACAGAGATCACTTGTCCTAGCTAGGTTTCTTTTTAAATAAACACTTCTTCAGACAAATCCCAAAGTCTGAACTATCAGCCAAGGTCTTCAATACTAAGAGAAACATAACTTGCAGGAACAAGGTTTCTTGTCTTCTTGACATTGTCTATGGAGCCACAGAGATCACTTGTCCTAGCTAGGTTTCTGTTTAAATAAACACTTCTTCAGACAGATCCCAAAGTCTGAACTATCAGCCAAGGTCTTCAATACTAAGAGAAACATAACTTGTCTATGGAGCCACAGGGATCACTTGCCCTAGCTAGGTTTCTGCCTAACATAACAAATCAGTCTTCATAAGATCGTTCTGCATTGGATGAGGCAAGAACCGATTCTGTATTTCTACGTTTCATTTTACTTTTCCTGAGCATGGTAGCCTACATAAAGAATCGTTGTACGTTTCATTTGAATCTCTTTGAAATGCACAAAGAAAGAAAAAAAATAATATTTGCAGATTCACATTTACTTGATTTTTTCTATATTCTTCTCTTAATTTAAGTTTTACTTCTGGTTCTGACTAATTCTGAACTTACACTTCACAATTAAAAAGGTTACTATTACACTTAACATCATAATTACTATTTTGTTTATTACATTTGAAATATATTACCAGTTGTAAGCTTACTGTTTCTTTCATCACTTTTAATGTGGAAGATACCTAAAAGCACAAAATAGCTACTCCACCTTTAACAAAAATAGCTAAATATTAACCTTCTCGGTACCATGAAGGACTGTCTGATTCTATATAAAAGTTTTAATTGAAAAAAAGATAAAATTAGCCCATTTAAAAAAAAAAAGAGATTTTTTTATAAATCTTAAAAATGTCACAAAAAAATAAATAAATTGTATCTTTTTAGATTATACAATAATTTTTGTTTTGATTGACTTTAGTTGTTGTTGAGCGTATACCTACACAACTGATCATCCAAGTTGTGCCCACCACGAGTATCGAAACCCGGTTTTTATCACTTAGGGTGGGGGGAGGGCATGACCTTTGGTAAACATAATTTAAAAACTACAGAGAGCTAATAATTAATATACTCATTGTGCAATGTGTACATTTTAACACATAGCCTGGCAATTAATATACTCATTGTGCAATGTGTACTTTGTTACACATAGCCTGGTAATTAATATACTCATTGTGCAATGTGTATTTTTTAACACATAGCCTGATAATTAATATACTCATTGTGCAATGTGTACTTTTTAACACATGGTCTGGTAATTAATATACTCATTGTGCAATGTGTACTTTGTAACACATAGCCTGGTAATTAATATACTCATTGTGCAATGTGTACTTTGTTACACATAGCCTGGTAATTAATATACTCATTGTGCGATGTGTACTTTTTAACACATAGCCTGGTAATTAATATACTCCTTGTGCAATGTGTTCATTTTAACACATAGCCTGGTAATTAATATACTCATTGTGCAGTGTGTATTTTTTAACACATAGCCTGATAATTAATATACTCATTGTGCAATGTGTACATTTTAACACATAGCCTGGTAATTAATATAGTCATTGTACAATGTGTAATTTTCAAATACAATGTAGAAATCTAAAATGCAATGAGTAAGCCTAACTTGTAAGTATCAACTGTTCTTCTACAACAACCTTAATGCTTTTATCACTAAAGAAATTTATATATATGTGTGTGTGTATTTCTTAACAAATTAAGACAAAATCTTACAAAATGTCCATTCCATCTGTACTACTTTTATACTTTAGTCCTACAAGACTTTCTCCACAAGTATCATGCTCTATTAGGCAGTTCCTGCCCATTATACCTTTGTTTGTTCATCGTGATGACTGCCTAAATCAGCTATAAAAGAATGCTCTTATCACAACTGACAAGATAAATCTGGACCACAATGATAATACATCAGTATTCAGGTATTCAATTCCCCATATCATACACATTGTGGAATATTATTTGCAACAACCATTAACTCTGCAAAATATCTGATTTATGAAACTTCATCTCAAATGATATTTCTGCAGTTTTGGTGAAAGACTTTCATAATTTTCAATAGATGAGTCCTTATAAATCTAAAAATAACTAAAATAAATTCAAATTACCTGCACTGACAAAATAAAGAAACCTGAAATGAGACGTTAGAAACTCAAATATATATATCAGGAGTATTCAGTTAATTTAATATCAGGTGCAAGGACCCAGTTATTTAAATAGAAATTAATTAAAGTTTTTACTTACCTTGAGGGCAGAGCGAAGAACCACGACCTCCCCAGGACTCTGAATCCAAGGTTCTCCATCCACTTGTACAGGCATATCAGTGTTGAGTCGGATTCGAATCTATAGAAACCAGAGTATTTAATATAGCTGGTTTTTTGTTAGTGTTTTTCCACTTTTAGTGGCAATACAACTTTTCTTTGTTAATAAAATTATGTAGCATTAGTTAATTAGTACTAAAAAACCATGAGCAAATCTTACACATTTAAAACATTCTTGTAAGTCCAGGATCAGAATTCTTATAAGTATTATTTAAGCCCACTGAACATTTGGGCTGTCTTTAGAATATTCAGTACTTGTTATAAATAAAAATATTTACAAGCTTACGATTATCATAATTATCTAATACAATTCACTATTTGTAAAATAATATCAAAAGTAACTACATTTTCAGTTACCAGCTATAATTATCACATTTGTTATATGTAATAGGAACTCAGAATTATTGTGAACAATTACAAAGTCTATGTGCTTAATTTTTTTCTGTATTTTTGATCTATTACAAATATTTCTGTTAGATGTTGCTTCCTCTTAATAAGGAAAATTTAAGTATAACCTGATGAATGCAGTTTTCTTATAAAGCTACAGTTTTGAGAAAGTTGTCACCTGTGTCTCAGAATTTAAAGGTCTAGCCTGACTGTCACCAGCTGTTAAAAGCAGTCCTATTAGACAGCTTCAATTTTAATAATCAACTGTTACCTTTGTTGCATAATTTAAGGGTTTAACTTAAATGCTATTGTGTATGTTGGTGTAATATTTCATTCAATCTCTCTCTCTCTCTATATATATATACATATATAGTTTGTACAATATACTTTTGTACAGGATTGGGATAATGAGAGAACATAAGAAAGGCTCTTTGTTTTAACATATCAAATAATTTTCAGTCAACTGATCTTCTACTGTATTAGTGCTGACCATTTTAAACACATTTAAAATTTAAATAATAATGAGTAAAAACTCACGTGTCCTCCCTGTGCAATTCTGATAGCATTCCGAAGTCCACTTTGAATCTGTCCCATATGGACGACTCCCATAACTCCCACTACTTCTAACATTCCATCATAGTGGTTAGGCTTAGAGAACTGGTCCTCTCTTTCAGGACCCCAGGGGTTGGCTCCTGATCCCCAGCTAAATGAAGGTAAAATTTCCAGGTTTACTGACTCATGTTGCAATACAACATGAATTCTGGGATGACTATGTATACAAGCTATTTTCCATACTAACTCAAAATCTTAACTAGAAATTTCAATTGGATCTACATCTGTTTGAACATGCATAAAACATAAATAATCATGAAATATGTATTTCTGCTATATTCAGGGTGGGCAGCTCCCCCTCAAATAAAGATAGTGTACATGAAAGAAAGAATTTATTACATATTGACGTATTTACATTTCTCATACTGAAACAGACTAACAAAAGATTCAATTAATAATCCAAAATGTCTGTCTGTTGGCCTTCATTTTCATGACATAGGATGATACATCTCCAGTTGTGATGCATATTAGGGGTGACCTTAGTGAAACTTTCAACAATTGTTTGTTTTAAAGCATAAGTTGTATCATATTGTTCCTTTGCCACAACCTGTTTGATAAAGCCCCACAGTGAATTATCACGTGAGCTTTAAGTAAGAGGGGGAGTGCCCAGATTTTTTGCCCACCCTGTACAGTGTTGAAAAATTGATGCCGTATTTGTATGGACAACCAGCTATTGAAAATACATGTGAAAAATTTTGATGTATATTTACTAATGCAAAAATATTTCTGCTTGGATGGCACTTCTTATTTATCTTTCTACAAAACAGATTATAAAAGTACCACAAAATTCCTATTCTCAGGATAGTAACAGGAATAAAATTTACCTCAGAATATTTAGAATGATGATTCCTTCAACTGGCGGTAGATCTACCATTTTCCCATCCACTTCGAGGCGAACCTCTTTGTTTAAATCTCTCCACAGTTTCCTGCCCACCATCTTCCGAAGGCCCATTTTAAAGTAAACCCCTTTGTTATGAAGTCTGGAAATAAAAAGACTTGTAAAAAAAAGTATGGTCATTTATTTAGAGTACTAACAATCTTCCCTGCATTTTACCTGAAATTTAGGTGTTCTGCAAGGTTTCTGATAAGGCAGACTGTAATTTATTTTACTGGATCTAAAGGAAATATAAGAGATCATTGGGTTTTTGGACCCCAAAACTTCTTTTATATTAAAATTCAATTCTAGGTTATTTAAGACTCCAAAGTTAAAGTCAGGAGATGAAAATGCAGTTGATACAAACTATAGCATATTCACTGATGATGGAAAGTTTCCTACCTGCTATTAAACTTGTTAGGATTTTCTTCCCTGGCATTATGAAAGTCAAGACACAGGTCAGCATCGATGCCAATTCCAAAGTAATTGTTCATCATGAAGATGGCTGTGTTGTCCTCAGACGTGGATCCAGAGCTGTTACTCACAATTCCTGGCCTTTCATCAGGTTTTTCATCAGAGTGAAACACTACAGTCCACCTGTACATACCCAAGATTATACCTATCATGCTGCATCTGTAGCATTTAACAATTGCAAAATTCAAATTCATAAATGAGTACTTTGTGAAATATTTCATATACGTCTATGTGATGTATCAATACAAAGGAGTAGATCTGTCACACTGAAAAATAAATAAATCACAGAAGACTTTTGTGCCACTCCAATAAACAAACTTTACTTTCTAATGAATTCATTGATTGGAAATCTACTAAAAACGTTTGCTACATTTCTGGTGCTCCTTTTTATAATAAAATGAACTTTACTTTGTAATTTAAGACTTATTAACAAGGCATCTCTATCACTTTTATTCACATTTGTACTTACCTATCTAGCCTGATCTCTTCTGCATCTATAATATCCTTGAGGACTGTAAGCGGTTCTTCTCCGCCAGTGTAGCCTGGCCCCCAACGAAGGACCCGTGCAAGGTCGTTGCCCGTTCCAAGAGGCAGGATAGAACATGGAGGGGATGAGCATTCTGAATCTTGACCAACATTGTCGAGACACTGTAGAGTCCAGCCTACTGTACCATCTCCTCCACAAACAAGAATCTTGTAGTCCTTAACTCGTCTAAATACATAAAGACTGTAAAAGCACACCATAAGATTTAATTCTTTTATTATTTAAAGTAACTATAACTGTCCAGTGTGGAAAACAAAACAAACAAGAATCTTGTAGTCCTTAATTCGTCTAAATACATAAAGACTGTAGAAGCACACCATAAGATTTAATTCTTTTATTATTTAAATTAACTATAACTGTCCAGTATGGAAAACAAAACAAACAAGAACCTTGTTTGTGTAACCTTTAGCTGTTCGGTACATTTAAGCAGTTTCAAAAGAAATTCCTACCCTAATTAAATTTTACTTTTCAAAAGTTTCTTCATTTCTTTTTAAAGCTCATGATTGTTCTAAAAAGTTCAGAAATGTAATTACTTATAGTGACAACATTTTTAATTATTACATCAATTAAGTTAGTACAACAATGAGATATAGATTCTTTGTTTAATGGCTTCATTTGACTGTTAAAATGTATCTGCACAATGATATTTTTTTTTTAGATGAGAACATATTCAACACATTAATTTGATCTCAATAATAAAAGTTATCTGTCTGTCTTGGAAAATTGCTGGTATCTTAAAGAATTACTAAACTTTATGTATGATCCATGCTCTAACACAAAAAAAAACTACATCCAGTTTGACAACAAATCATCAAAGCATCTGGAGTTGTTTTTTTTTAGAGAGAATTTAATAATAGCTAACTTAATAAATTACTCATACATTCTTACTTATAATAATTAAAACACACTGTTTCATCAGGTTGTCACCCTTGCCATTATCTATATTTTCGGCAGAAGCTACATACACTAAACTTAACAGGAGCAATAATAACTTGAACAGATATATTTATGATAAAAACATAAAACGACAGAATGTATTTATAATTCTGTTCCGAGGAATAGGTGTAAGTACAACAGTTCTTTCATTAGTTAGCAAAAGGTTTAAATAATTAATAACAACATATTGAACACCCGTTATCAGACATCCAGTCATTTTTAAGAACGTTACTTAAATTCTGTGTTTCACAGCAGGAGGTATTTCTTTAAAGTTATACACACACACAAAAAAAATTTTTTTTACTTGATTTCTGAAAAAATAAATCATTTTTATTCAATTCACCCCACAAGAAATTCTCATTTTAAGAAGATCTTTATGCATATGTAATGCACATTTCAATTATTTCGTTTATCTTTCTGCTGAACTTCATGCCAAGCTGCTTGAGGGTTATCAGGACTTGCTGTCCCTAATTTAGAAGTCATACTAGAGGGAAAGTGGCTAGTCAACATTGCCATCTCTTTACCAACAAAAAGTGGAATTAACCATCATATTATAATGTCTCCACTGCTGAAAAGGTGTACACATTCATTTAGCTTTGGAATCCATTCACTGCTTTGTTATGGAAGAAATTGTTAAATGTTTTAAAAAAACTTTTATAAATTAAATCTAAAGAATCTTTCCCTAATTTATTGGAAAAAAAATTCATCTTTACATAAACTTAAATTGGGATAAAGGCGAAAGACTGAAAGTAATGAGATTGATTAATTGAATTTAGGTGTCCATTTCAAGTTCAGTTTAATGGTTTAAATAATATATAAATTAATAAATTAGGAATTTTCATGGAGAAAAGTGTTGTTCTTGTCTCATGTGAAGCTACACGATAGATATCTGTGCACAACCCCCTCTAATTTTGAAGTGAAAGACAGAGAGAGGGCACCCATTGCCAACTCTTGGGCTATTCTTGCATGTATGGGCTCAGAGTGTGAAACTTGGTTTTGCAGTAAGAGAAGGGAGTAGAAGTTCAAACTCTTCGATTCACAATCAGGACATGCTGACCACTACATAATGCCTGGTCATAAAAAAGTGTACTTGTAATTTGCATGTTAAATACAAATGCCTGAACCACCAAAATTTGAAGCGAATTTCAGCTATTTTCTTTTCTTTCAAATAAAAAGATGTTAACTTAAACAGTATACCTACCATAGAACTTCTTGTTTATGTTGTTTTTTTTTTAGAGATAGTGAGTAATACTTTGAGCAACTCCTGAAATCCTCTAGTGATAACTGCAAATGTAAATCAAACTGTTGGTTGAAATTATGCAATTAAATGAGTAATGTGGGAAGCTTTTTAAACTTCATTAACCCATACAAAAAAGAAATTAGGAGTTAAAAGTACAGACGACATCAACATATACGTAAAGAAGGGGTGGGTGTAGATGTTGCTATGTATTGCAAAAGATATTTGAGGAATGGATCTGTCATCTCTCGGAGCCCCACCTCAGACAGTAGTGTTTGTGTGTGATTTTCTTCATCTGTTTGTAGTACCGATACCATCACCTTGTTGAGTTTTACTACCTGTCCCCAGTACTCAGGTTTTGAAAGCATCACTAGATCTGGTGTCTATCACTAGATAAGTCAATTGTTTTGTCATTTTTTATCAGATGCTTGACCACACTCAAAGTCCTTTTTTGTACTAGAGGTGTTTAGTGAATATCATATGTTGTAGAATAGTTTAACCTTATACTAGAGGTGTTTAGTGAATATCACATGTTATGGAATAGTTTAACCTAATTAAGCTTAACCTTATACTAGAGATGTTTAGTGAATATCACGCATTATGGAACAGTTTAACCTAATTAGGCTTAATCTTATAGTCACTGACGCACCCCGCAAGGCCATCAGATTCATTTAGAACTCTGCATTCCTAGCCTCATATGTGAATAGTCTAGGCAGGTCACTTAACCCTTTCGAGATGGGTCACAGGTGAGAGGCCATTTCATCAAGTTTGTTGACTTTCA